ATGTGTCTCTGTATATCTGTGTGTCTCCATTGTTCTCTATATGTCTCTACGTGTCTCTATGGGTCCCTGTGTATCTCTATGGGTTTGTTTGTGTATGAGTCTGTATGTGTCTCTGTATCTTGGTGTATCTTTGTGTGTCTCTATGGTTCTCTATATGTCTCTAGGTATCTCCATGGGTCCCTGTGTATCTCTATGAGTCTCTATATATCTCTGTGGGTTTAATATATCGTCAACAGTTTGAGATGCATGACCACAATCGCACTCCTGTGGAGATGGAGCGATGGAATCAGCTGGTGTGCACAGGATAGAACGTTACATGCTGTACTATTGCAGTCAAACGGTTCGGGAAATGGGCCTTCATCAGAGCACACAGGGCGGTCAGCTTGACACAGCACTTCCAAATGTAATGCATTGACCGTGTCATCGATTCATCGATTCAAGTCGTCGCCTCCACGCACGTGGCCCATGTGCGTGGCAGGCGCGTGGCAGGCGCGTGGCAGGGGTGAGAACTCTGGAGAGAAGCCAGGGATAGGAGTCTCATTTGCAGGAGTCATCTGACTCACTGGTTATCACGGTGGCGTAGATGTTAACTACCTCGCCTGGTATACAGGTCGAGGGTTCGATCCCGATCCCGATCTCGTCCCTGACGCCTGCTGCTGTATATTTAAAGTTTGCGCGTCTCTCTCTCTCATCATCATCACTGTGGCTAAGAGATGTTAACTACCTCGTCTGGTATACAGGAGGTCGTAGGTTCGATCTCGACCCTGACGCCTGCTGCTGTATATTTGGAGATTGCGCGTTCTCATTATCATCATCATCACGGTGGCTATGAGATGTTAACTATCTCGTCTGGTACACAGGAGGTCGTGGGTTCGATCCCGACCCTGACGCCTGCTGCTGTATATTTGGAGTTTGCGTGTTCTCTTTCTCTCATCATCATCACGGTGGCTATGAGATGTTAACTACCTCGCCTGGTACACAGGAGGTCGAGGGTTCGATCTCGACCCTGACGCCTGCTGCTGTATATTTGGAGTTTGCGTGTTCTCTCTCTCTCTCATCATCATCACGGTGGCTAGGAGATGTTAACTACCTCGCCTGGTATACAGGAGGTCGAGGGTTCGATCTCGACCCTGACGCCTGCTGCTGTATATTTGGAGTTTGCGTGTTCTCTCTCTCTCTCTCATCATCATCACGGTGGCTAGGAGATGTTAACTACCTCGTCTGGTACACAGAAGGTCGTGGGTTCGATCCCGACCCTGACGCCTGCTGCTGTATATTTGGAGTTTGCGTGTCCTCTTTCTCTCATCATCATCACTGTGGCTAGGAGATGTTAACTACCTCGTCTGGTATACAGGAGGTCGTAGGTTCGATCTCGACCCTGCTGACGCCTGCTGCTGAAAATTTGGAGTTGGCGTGTTCTCTCTCTCATGATCATCACGGTGGCTAGGAGATGTTAACTACCTCGCCTGATATACAGGAGGTCGAGGGTTCGATCCCGATCCCGACCCTGACGCCTGCTGCTGCTGTATATTTGGAGTTTGCGCGTCTCTCTCTCTCTCTCTCATCATCATCATCACGGTGGCTAGGAGATGTTAACTACCTCGTCTGGTATACAGGAGGTCGTGGGTTCGATCTCGACCCTGACGCCTGCTGCTGTATATTTGGAGATTGCGTGTTCTCATTATCATCATCATCACGGTGGCTATGAGATGTTAACTACCTCGTCTGGTACACAGGAGGTCGTGGGTTCGATCCCGACCCTGACGCCTGCTGCTGTAGATTTGGAGTTTGCGTGTTCTCCAGGTCCTCCAGTTTTTTTGCTCCATCCACGTGTATAATTTCCACGCGATAAGTTGAGATATCATTTGCGGCTAGGCGCCTTCTGAAAACGAGCTCGATAGCACACAGTGGGCCTGACCTGATACAATAAAACAAAAGTTTAGTTTAGCATCAGTTCATAGTGGCGTGAGGGAGCAGCGTTGGTGATGTGGAAATGTTTCGCAGCCAAATACTCTAAACGCGTGATGTTGATTCGAAATGTTGAAGAGAAAAGCCGGAGGACGCAGAGACAAATCCACGCGATTACCGCTTTCACAGGCACTCACCAACTCACTCAGCCGTCTAACTCACGCACCAAGAAAATAGAGCACTCTCCGATTCAGCTACCCGCTCGCTCGCACACTCACCTACCTACTCACTCACGTACCTACTCACTCACCCACCTACTCACTCACCCACCTACTCACTCACGCACCTGCTCACTCACCTACTCACTCACTCACTCACCTACTCACTCACATATCTGCTCACTCACCCACCTACTCCCCCACCTACTCACTCACTCACCTGCTCACTCACCTACTCACTCACGCACCTGCTCACTCACCTACTCACTCACCCACCTACTCACTCACCCACCTGCTCACTCACCTACCGACTCACCTACTCACCCACCAAGTCACTCACCCAACTACTCATTCACCCACCTGCACACTCACCTACCGACTCACTCACCCACCTACTCACTCACCTAGTCACTCACCCACTTACTCACTCACCCACCTGCTCACTCACCCAACTATGAACTACTCACTAACATACTCACTCACCTACTCGCTCACTCACGTCGATAATATCACACTCACACTCTCACACACACTCTCTCACTCTCACACTCTCACACACACTCTCTCACTCTCACACATACTCACACACTCTCAGACACTCTCACACACTCACACACACTCTCACTCTCACACTCTCACACTCACACACTCTCTCACACTCTTTCACACACTCTCAAACTCTCTCACACTCTCACACACTCTCTCACACGCTCATTCTCACACACACCCTCACACACTCTCACTCACTCTCACACACTCTCACACACTCTCACACTCACACACTCTCTCACACACTCTCACACACTCTCACACATACTCTCACACACTAACACGCTCACACACTCTCACACTCTCATACTCTCACACACTCTCACACACTCTCACACATACTCTCACACACTCTCTCATACTCTCTCACACACTCTCACACACACTCACACTCTCACACACTCTCACACACTCTCACTCTCACACGCTCCCACTCTCTCACTCTCTCACGCTCCCACTCTCAACTAACAACACCAGGCGCTGTTCATCGCTGTGCCAGGCTAGGTGCATACAACAAATAACAAAAAGATCCCCCGTATAGCCTCAACAGACTGTTGGGACAAGTGCTGTTAGCGAGCGCCTATTAAGGTCAGAACGGCACACGAGGGGGTGGGTGGCCAGCACCACGCACGGCCGCCTTTGTCTCCCCAGTGGCGATGTTTTTACGCACCGCACCAGGTACTCATTTGAGGCTGAGTCGACTTAGAGGAGGCGCAGAACCGGTTGAGATAATCGTCACTGAGTGTCGGCCATGAGCGGGAAACGAACCCGGATCGCCAGGTTCGTAGCGCAGCGCGCGAACCGCTACACTTACATACACCCTCACACATACAGACAGACAGACACTCACCAATCTACTAACTCTGGTACTCACTCAATCACCTTGCACGCTCTCTCACACAATCATACACTCACTCACCAATCTAAAAAACAAACTCACCAACTCACACACTATCACACGTGCTCGCTCACTCTCACTCACCCACTCACACGCATGAATGCCAACTCACTCGCTCACACACACACACTCACCAAATCTAACAACTCACCACCATCACAGCTGCTCACAAAAAATAAAATATTACACCTTTATAGCCCCAACAGACTGTTGGGACAAGTGCCATTCAAACATCCACACTCACTCACACAACCTCACACATTCACTCACACTCATGAATGCTAACTCACTCGCTCACACACACACTTACTCACCAAATCTGACAACTCACCACTCTCACAGCTGCTCACAAAGACAAAGACTCCCTCCTCCCCCGTATAGCCTTAACAGACTGTTGGGGCAAGTGCTCTTCACACAACCTCACTCGCTCTCACTCACTCACTCGCTCACACACACACACTCACTCACACACCCACACACTCACTCACTCACACACTCACTCACTCACACACTCACTCACACACTCACTCACTCACACACTCACTCACACACTCACTCACTCACACACTCACTCACTCACACACTCACTCACACACTCACTCACACACTCACTCACACACTCACACACACACTCACTCACACACTCACCAATCAAAACAACTCACCAACACGCGATCACACGTGCTCACTAAGACAACCCCTCCCTCCTCCCCCTTGTAGCATTAACAGACTGTTGGGGCAAGTGCTGTTCACACAACCTCACTCGCCGTCACTCACCCACTCACTCTCTTGCACGCTCACACACTCGCTCACACACACACTCACTCACCCACTCACTCTCTTGCACGCTAACCCACTCACCCGCTCACCCCAGCACGTGCTCACACCCTCGCTCAGCTCACATTCCTCATTCCCTCGTGTCGCTCGTCTCTCGATTGAACGCGAATTTTACGACCAACCACCCCATTCCGCGACTCTCTCGCTCCATCTCTTTTTTTTCTTTTTTTTTCTCTTTTCATTTTTTTACGATCAGAGGAAACAAGAAGATGCTCGATGTAGTCGGCACTTTGCTTCGTTCATCATTTAGTTTTTTTTTATCTTTTCTTTATGTGCCCCCCCTCTCTGCCCCCCCTCTCTGCCCCCCCCCCCCTCTCTCTATCCCCCCTCTCTCTACCCCCCCCCCCTCTCTCTACCCCTCTCGCTTTCTCTCGCTCCCTCTCTCCTCCCCCCTCTCTCCTTCCCTCTCTCCCTCTCTCTCTCCCTCCCTCTCTCTTCCCTCTCTCGCCCTCGCACTCACCCCATTGGCCGACTCGCCTCGAGGCGGCACTTCAAAGTGGACGACTGGGTGGGGGGAGAGAGAGAACGCACGACGATGGGGGAGGGTGTAAGGGGGGGGGAGATGGAGGGGGGGGAGATGTGGGGGGAGGGGTCCTCGCTACTTGATGGCCCGGGGAGTTACGGAAGTGCCCCACTTGGTCTTTGTGCGCGGAGCTCTCAGATGAAGACGTCGCGGGCTCCGTGAAGCGACGAGGCGATCAGCTGCTCGCTGCTTTGCTGCTGCTGCTGCTGCTGCTGCCCGCACGCCCTGCCCTGCCTGCCCTGCCTGCCCTGCTGCTGCTGCTGCTGCAACGGCGGGAGGCGTACTGTGATGGCAGCTTCCTTGCAGGGGGTGAGTGTGCGGCGAGCGAGTGAGTCGGCGGGTCGGTGAGGCCGGTTGAAGTGAGTCTGTGAGTCGGCGAGTTGAGTCGGCGCGCGAGTCCGTGAGCCCAGCGAGTGAGTCGTGAATGAGTGAGTCCGTGAGCCCAGTGAGTGAGTGAGTCAGCGAGTCTGAGTGAGTCGTAAATGAGTGAGTCCGTGAGCCAGCGAGTGAGTGAGTCAGCGAGTCTGTGAGTGAGTCGTGAATGAGTGAGCCTGTGAGCCGGCGAGTGAGTCAGTGAGTCGTGAATGAGTGAGTCCGTGAGCCCAGTGAGTGAGCCAGTGAGTCTGTGAGTGAGTCGTGAATGAGTGAGTCCTTGAGCCAGCGCATGAGTCAGCGAGTCTGTGAGCGAGTCGTGAATGAGTGAGTCTGCGAGCCGGCGAGTGAGTCAGTGAGTCTGTGAGTGAGTCGTGAATGAGTGAGTCGTGAATGAGTGAGTCGTGAATGAGTGAGTCCGTGAGCCCAGTGAGTGAGTGAGTGAGTCAGCGAGTCTATGAGTGAGTCGTGAATGAGTGAGTCCGTGAGCCCAGCGCATGAGTCAGCGAGTCTGTGAGCGAGTCGTGAATGAGTGAGTCGTGAATGAGTGAGTCCGTGAGCCCAGTGAGTGAGTGAGTGAGTCTGTGAGTGAGTCGTGAATGAGTGAGTCGTGAATGAGTGAGTCGTGAATGAGTGAGTCGTGAATGAGTGAGTCCGTGAGCCCAGTGAGTGAGTGAGTGAGTCAGCGAGTCTATGAGTGAGTCGTGAATGAGTGAGTCCGTGAGCCCAGCGCATGAGTCAGCGAGTCTGTGAGCGAGTCGTGAATGAGTGAGTCCGTGAGCCCAGCGAGTGAGTCAGCGAGTCTGTGAGCGAGTCGTGAGTGAGTGAGTCTGTGAGCCAGCGAGTGAGTCAGCGCATGAGTCAGCGAGTCTGTGCGTGAGTCTCTCGAGTGAGTCGCGAGTGAAGACTCCGAGCGAGTTGACGAGTGAGTCGGTGAGTGAGATGGAGCGACGGCCGCTCTAGTGTGAGCGCGAGTGATGTGCGACTCTCAGTGTGCGCGTGACACCGGTGACGAGTATCTGAGCCGGTCCTGGGCCTCCCCTAGGTCGACTCACCCTCAAATGAGTACCTGGTGCGTTGCGTAAAAAAAAACATCGCCACTTGGGGAGACAAAGGCGGCCTGGCGTGGTGCTGGCCACCCACCCCCTCGTGTGTCGTTCTGGCCTTCATAGGTGCTCGCTAACAGCACCTGCCCCTACAGTCTGTTACAGGCTACACGGGGGACCTTTGTCTATGTGTGTGTGTGAGTCCGCTATTGAGTGCGCGCGAGTGTGAGCGCATGAGCAGCGTCCATAGGCGCGTGTCTCATTGCGAAGAGCGTGTCCGTGTGAGCTTCTGTGTGTGTGTCACCGTGTGTTCATGTATCAACTTGTGTGTACTCAAGTTTGAACTCGCGTGCAACCTCTGCGTATCGCTTCCGTATCTGCGTTATCCTCCGCTCGTATTTCCGCCTATCTCTGACTCCGTCCGTCCGCGTGTCTTCGTGTAAGTGCGTGTGTGTTTGTGTGTGTCTGTGTGTGTGTCTCTGTGTGTGTCTCTGTGTGTGTGTCTGTGTCTCTGTGTGTGTGTCTCAGTGTGTGTCTGTGTGTCTGTGTGTGTGTCTCAGTGTGTGTCTGTGTCTCTGTCTCTGTGTGTCTGTGTCTCAGTGTGTGTGTCTCTGTGTGTGTGTCTCTGTGTGTGTGTCTGTGTGTGTCTGTGTCTCAGTGTGTGTGTCTCAGTGTGTGTGTCTCAGTGTGTGTGTCTCTGTGTGTGTGTCTCTGTGTGTGTGTCTGTGTCTCAGTGTGTGTGTCTCTGTGTGTGTCTGTGGGGAGCGGTAGTGTCACGGTTAGCGCGCTGCCATTACGTACCCGGCGAACCCCAGTTCGATTTCCGCTCACGGCCAACACCGGTGACGATTTATCTGAACCGGTCCTGGGCCTCCTCCCCTAGGTCGACTCAGCCTCAAATGAGTCACCTGGTGCGGTGCCTGTATTAAACATCGCCACTGGGGGAGACAAAGGCGGCCGGGCGTGGCGCTGTCCACCCCCACCCATCCGTGACCACGTGCTCATCATACCGCGCGTTCAGTCTATACGACGGGGGAGGGAAATCTTCGTCTTCTGCGCGAGTGTGAGTCTGTGTGATATCTCCCCGATCCATCTACCCGCACCCCCATCCCCATATCTGTGCTCACGTCTATAATCTACTGCAACCCCTGGGAAACTGCGTGTCTACTTATAGGTGCCCCGGCAGTAAAACAGGATCGCCTCCGTAATCCTTGACACGCGCTCAGTCACGATGTCGGCGAACGCTGCGGCGATTAGCAACCGCGAATTCGTCGACACAAGCCGAACGCATCAACACTGCCGTGAGGATTTTAATTTTTTTAAAAATAAAAAATTGGTATTTACACTGCCGTTATATTTCTTATATACGTGCATAGATATATGTATGTATATATATACGACGGCAGGTATCCCAAATGGGAACAAATACACACACGCACAAAAAGACGCACATCGTCAACTCGATTTGTTTCGGAGTCATCGCTTAGATCAATCAGCGGCCCCCAACCTTGTTGGCACCAGGGACCGGCTTCGTGGAAGACAATTTATTGACGGACCGGGGGGGGGAGGGGGGTAGTTCATCATTAGGTCTTTCCCCCTTTTCAATTAAGCTTTCCAGCGACGTTTGTTTTTGACTCATGTTGGCTACTAGGGGTTAGAGCTTGTGGGCTTACAACAAAACTGTGACTGTGACAAGTGCGCAGTGCGGGCAAGAGGCGCGGATGGAAGTGGTGAATAGTAAAACAATGGGGGCGGGTTCCACGGGCGGACTCACCGCTCACCACTATGCGGTGTGTAGAGTGTGTACACACACGGACTCACCGCTCACCACTATGCGGTGTGTAGAGTGTGTACACACACGGACTCACCGCTCACCACTATGCGGTGTGTAGAGTGTGTACACACACGGAATCACCGCTCACCACTATGCGGTGTGTAGAGTGTGTACACACACGGACTCACCGCTCACCACTATGCGGTGTGTAGAGTGTGTACACACACGGACTCACCGCTCTCACCTCCTGCTGCTGTGCGGCCCGGTTCCTAACAGGCCACGGACCGGTCCGCGGCCCGGGGGGATTGGGAGGACCCCTGGCTTAGAGGATATCTCCCAAGAGAGTCGATCCTAAGAGACACGCACGGATCCGAGCAGGGCCGCATATGTTGCTTGGCGCAACGGCAGGATCCCATTGTAGACTGTTGGGGATGCGGGTGTCCAACACCACGCCCGGCCGCCTTTGTCTCGCCGGTGTTGATAATTACCCCCGTCCCCCACCACCACCACCAACCAGAACTGGTTGAAACATCCCGTCGCTGTTATTGGGAATGGAACTCTGGTAGCCGGGTTCGTAGCGCAGCGCAATAACACACACGCACACACACACACACCTCAACATACACACACGTACGTGCATCGCTGCATATACATGCGTTATGCAACACAGTATACACATGCGTATTGATTGTTGCTCGCGTAAATAAAGGCCGTAACATATGAGCGAGGATCGGGAACGGAACGTCCAATTTAAGTGCAGCGTTCGGAATATGAAACATTGCACCGTCATCATCATTGACGCGTTGTGTGTCGCTGTGCTCTGTCCGTCTTGAGTCTTGGTCGTATCGTGCTGTTAAGTAGACACGCGTGTACATAGACACACACACAGACATCGTTCGCGCTGTGTATCTGAGAACCGTAGGGCACCGCGGAGCGAGTCCGTTTTCTGAGCGAGCACCTATTGCCCTCGTGTGTGGGCCCGTGGTTTGTGTGTGTGCGTATATGTGTCTGTGACCAGGGAGACAAAGGCGGCCGGGCGTGGTGTAGGCCACCCACCCCCCCTCATAGTTTCCTGCGAAGAGCACTTGCCCCAACAGTCTGTTAGAGGCTACGCGGGGGATCGTTGTCTTTGTGTGGCCGGGTTACCGCGTACGCCCTGCAACCTTTGTCTGTGTGTGTGTGTCCAACCCCCCTCCTCCCCCCCCCTGCTGTTGCGTTGTTCGCACGACGCAACAGGTAAAACTCGTTTGAGGCTGAGTCGACCTAAAGGAGAGACGCGCGCGCGCACGTACCCGTACTTTTCACTTTCAACTTTCGTTCCACTTTGCGTGTCTCTCTTTCTCTAACCCCTCTCGGAGGCCTCCGCCGAAAGCGCCGTGTCCGTAGTGGAGGTTGTCGTTTGACCATACTTCACCACGCGGGTCAAATGCGGCTTGGTGGAAATGGGGGGTGGGCGGGCGCGGTGGGGGGCGCTTGTTCAAATATCACTCGCAAATGATGCTGGTCGCAGTTCTAGAATCCAACGAGGCGCAGTGGATGACGTACAAACGTTTTGTCGGTCTCCAACGTAGCTTTGCTACATCTCCATGTGTCTGTTTGTTGTATTTATCTCATGCGCATTCGTATCTCGTTGTTTACATCTCCCGTCTAAAACTAGACACCCCCTCCCACCCCCTCCTGGTCCGCATTGTTATTCCATCTCACCGCATCTCCATATCCCTCGCCGACGAACTCTCAATACCTTGCCAACGTCCGTCGTATTTCACAAACAACTCCATTTCCTGTCCACGTGTTTTTTGCGTTTCCCCCCCTTTTCATCTCAACCGCATCTCTACCTCTAGTTTACATCTCCAAAAACAATGTATTTAGTCACAAAAAAATCTTAAACTCTCGTAAATTCAAAACGCGGCAGCCACTTCATCTATTGACTTCCTTCCTCTCGGTTTCCTCTCGTCTCGATCTTTTTTTGGTACCGAGAGGCTGAGTCGCGACGCGCACACACGAGCCCCGCTCCCCACAGCTCTCTCCGCTCCGCACGCCGTCGGCATCTCTCGCCGCGGCTCCTGCGATCGCAAAATCAAAATCCCCCGACTTGGTAACTCCCGAGCCAACGAGCT